TGTGTGTGTGTGTGTGTGTGTGTGTGTGTGTGTGTGTGTGTGTGTGTGTGTGTGTGTGTGTGTGTGTGTGTGTGTGTGTGTGTGCGCGTTGGGGGGTGCCAAGCAAAGGGGTGGCCACAATCCGATCGCCAAGATGGTGCGTAACTTGATGACACACGCATGCCAGGGGTGCCGGCAGCCGGCTGCAGGGTGAGTGCGATGAGCGATGCACGTCTGAGGCCTTTGGTGCGCGCCGGAGCCAGGCAGCGGCCTCGGCACTCAGTGCGGCTCATTGCGCCGAAGTGTCCGCTGTGCCGACCAAGCCGTTGCCCACATGATTCCGCCCAGATAACGGAAGTCACGGCTGCGGGCTGCAGAGGGCGTCTCTGCCCCCCCCCCCCCAAAAAAACACACACAGCACCCAAGCATCGCTCTTGGCCGCTCGCACGCAATGTGAGGATTGCCGTGCAACCGCCACGCCCCGCAGGCATGCGTGGCCAGAGAGAGGCAGAGCAAAACGCCCCCGCTCACGGCAACGCGCCGGACGAGGGGCTGGAGCGCAAGAGCGCCGGGGGGCGGGGGGGAGGGGGGAGAGCGCGTTCCGGCCTTGCCCCTGGCGGGTGCGCTGTTTCAATTTGCCGCACCTCGTAGCTGAATGTGGCGTTGGGTTTGCCCTCCTGCTTGGTCATGCCCTTGTACACGTCAGAGAAAAAGTTGCCAAACACAGCCCCAGGGGTGGCCTGCGGGCGGGATCGAGGTGAAAATTTTGGGGGTTGATAGGGGTGGCACGGGGTACAGGTAGGCGGGGCGTCAGGTGGGTTGCGACAAGTCAGGGAGTGGGGCAGCCGCGGGTGCGATGCTGGGGTGGCGCCGCCTCAACATGTTGCACCCCGTCCGCTTTTGCAGAGGACAGCGCTTCTGACACCCGCCCCGGGCGCGTGTGGCATTGACATGTGTCAAAACGCAGCAGTGAGGGCGCATGTCCTGCTTGCTGCTGCAGCCAAGGCAAGCGCGCCAGGATTATGCCATGTTGGCCTTTCAAAAGACGCCCCCCAAAAAAACCCCGCAGGGCAGCCAATGTCCGCATGACTTCAGCGCTATAACCCAACGCACCGGTATCTGGATTTGGGGCAGCAGCTGGATTTGAGGCAGCTGAATCTGGGGCAGCGCGATCTGGGGCAGCTGGTTGGGCAGCTGGAGGGGCAGCTGTGGCAGCTGTGGCAGCTGCGGCAGCTGCGGCAGCTGCGGCAGCTGGGGCAGCAGGGGGTTGGCCGTCCTGAGGGCGTTCCTCAGCCGCTGCCCGCTGCAGTCGCGCACGGCCGCGGCGGCCAGGGCCACGAGCAGCAGCGCAGCTGCGTTGCGGCGGGCGCGCGCCATGTCAATGACGCTGCTGATAACTGGTTCGCTCGAGCTGCTGGCGCTGCCTGCTGCGAAAAGCGAGATGAATGCCGCGAATTCGCGTTCCGTTTGAGAGCAGAGTCGCTTATAGGCTTGGGCCGTCCCAGGTGTGCGATCGGCCTGGCCGAGAGTGACCCCAGCATCACGCGGTTCAAGTCCAGCTAGATGTATTTGAAAACGGGATATTTGCGAAGCTGATGAAAGTGCCAAAGCGCAGAGAGGCTTTGCGCACAGCAGCGCGTCCTTTTTCATCAACACCTGGACTGCGCAGTCCATGCCTGGCCACACGCCTGATACCACATACATGATGCTGATACAGACAAGGGTGACCAGCCTGTCTGCACTGCAGCACGTAGAGGCGACGCGTTTCTGATACATAGGCATAGGGACATGCGTGTGAACGTGGTGTGCATTTGCGCCCTGCCAGTCCAGCTTATGAGTATTGACAGCAGTGCACAGGCACACTCTGCTCCAACCCCTCGCCCGCGGGCTCGACCCTCAATCTCGTCGCCCCCTCCGACTCTGGCTGGCTCAGATACAGTGTGCATGCATGTGCTGCCCGTGAGTCGTGGCTGCAGCCCCAGGACCACATAAGGGATTACATAATCTGCTGTGATATGCTGTTTCCGACCACGGGGTGTAAACAGAGCCGGGCGCATGGCACAGACGAGGAAAACGTTGTATTGCTAGGCAAGGACAGCTGCGAAAACAGCTCAAGGTTCTGCAAGAGTGGAT